CACGAGAGGTTGCTGCCCATATTCCTTTTGAAGTTGTCGAACGAGTCTATCCACCTGTACCGGAACAGCTCCAGCTCCGTATAGCATTCTGGAGTTTTCCAGAAAATGAAGAAGATATAAGGTATACCTTATTTTGAATATGGTTTTATAATAATAAAAAAAAATGGTTAGTAATTTTTGGATCTGAATTGTTTTTTGTGTCAATATAAGTTTGTTGTTTTTCTCTAGCTCTCTGGTTTTGTACTAGAGCAGAGATTGAAATATTAATTGCCAATTGCTGAGTTACTGTTAAAGTCTGGAAAATCTGTACAAAATTTTAATTTTTAAAAAGTCTAATTCTGCCTGATGATAGAAATAAGATAATTATTAGTAAATGAACTACTGTGTCAAAGCAGAGTTCAGGAACTTGGGACAGATTTTATTTCCCAAAATAGGGTCTAGGAAGTGGTGCACTTTCAGCTCACATATTAATAGATTTTATAAATTACTTGCTGTGATCTTCACAGTTGAAGATCATTTGCCGCTAAACATCATTAATCAAATTAGATATGTGAATTCAGGAGATTGTTAAATTTTTTAATGTTTGTATACAGAGTTTGAATGTTATTTTAAATTATTTTGGAACCTCACCATGTTCCATGTAATCACTTCTGATCATGCTCTATCTGACAACCATGCATCTTGACAATATCCTCGCATTGCAGTTTCCATTCCAAAAGGCTTCTTCATAAGGCTGTCATGTCAGAAGCACCACATTCCTCTCTGCATGCTTTACATAATCCATCAAGAGTTCAAACACGATGGTTATCCATATCAACAGTCTCATCACACACAAATCCATAGGCACTGCATCTAGCAACTCTACCTGTATTGATCAGGATGAACACCCATTTCATTCTCCAGGTGCTTTAGGTATGCATTGTTGAATGGACAAGTTGGAAGCAACTTGTGTCAGTTTTCTAGATGGATCTCCTTCTTGATTATGTTGCGTACTATTGCTTGGTTCACGTGTATAGCCTGAACAATTTGTGGTGACACCACATTGCCTACAAAACAAACAATACGAAAAGGTCATCCCATCATGACTTTACATCAGCTATGGTTGTCACGGGAGTGGCTGATTTGCATATTCAAGATTGTTTTAATATAAAATACTGAGCCCTCTGCGAATATATGTACAGATTTAACTGAATCTTAAGTACTTTTATGTAAGTGTTTATCTATGGATATATTATTTACACCCCTACACTTCTTAATATCTTGTCATGCCATCTGGTGTTCATTTAAGTGAATAAATTATTTAATTACCTCAAATTATTGATGTAATTGAACTTTGATGTGATTAATTTACATAGTCACTGATTGCACATGAAAAGATGTATGGGAAAAGGATATTTGACAAAAGAAAAATATAGGCTCTTTTAATAACCACATCAGACTGACATACATAAACGTAAATTGATCTATTTATATTTTAAAACCATTAAATACATGTAACAGCATGAATCATAACGGCCAAACTTCATTAACCCATTGTACACGAGTTTGATCTATTGAATTGACTTTGTATTGGAGAAGTAATATTGACTATAACTTTGAACTTACTACATGTATCTGCATGAAATGTACAAGTCTGTTGTACACAAAAAATCAGGTGAGTTACAAAGGTATTTGCACTCTAATCTGAATTGATGATGTCGGTCTAACTCGGACTGCAGAATCAGAGAGCAAGGTGATACTTGTACAAAGAATAAATATATTTTTGTCCATTAGTTAGTTTGCACATAACCACTGAAACCTCTAAAATGCATATCTACAGTTTTTCAGTATATTTATATATTATATGTGTTACCTATTCTCCTCAACCTCAAAGTGTTGTTAAGTTAGCAGTGAAGGGTAAAATGAATAGTTGACATCTCTGACATGGTAATGACACTAAAAAAGGTCGTCACATGCATGCATTGCACCCACCAGTGCTCATAGAGCTATGCTGACTTTATGTAGTAATGGATTCATGTTCTTTCACTGTTTTTGGATCAGTGCTATAAAGATAATTATATAATGACACTATAGCTATGTGTCATTTATCGTCGTAGTCAAGCTATTTCTCACAGCCAACTTTGATAATTTGTCTGTTCAGTTCAATGATTATTTTATTTTCATTATTTCATGCATTTGATTACTTCCATTATCATCAGTGAAGAAAAATTAGAATAATCATTAAAATTTACTTAGGCTGGTGAAATCTCACTCGGAAACTCATTTCAATAGGTTTGTTTATTCATCATGTTGCAACCTTCACACTTGTCGTGTAGAAATTTGAATGATGCTTTATTTTGAAAGTTCTCTCAAAATAAAATGTGAACTGGCTAGTGTTTGCTAGTAGGTGGTGTCATTTTGATAATTTTAAAAATGTCAATATATTTTTGTATTTAATTACAGATATGGAACAGATATTCTGAATCTCCCAGTTCTAGAGAAAAACTGGAGTTTATGGTTAATAACTGTTATTAACAAACTGTAAAATAGGATGATTTTTGGATCTGTGTTTTGTACTCAGTGGCATCTGAAAATATTTTGTGTTTAGTAAATAATCAATAGTCAAAAAATAGTAATTTATAAAAATTACATTTACTATACTTTGGTTTAAAAGGCAGTATTTTAATATGTGTAAAGGTTTATGATCCTGTTGTTGGTATATTGTACTGAAACTATTGATAAAATCAAGGAGAATCCTTTTACAACTTATAGTTGGTGTCATTTATAAGTGAAATGTTAGCTTGTGGTAGTTAAATCTTGAAACAGGGTGTGATTAGTAGTTAAACAGTTTTACTTGCATATGTTGTTACATATTACTACCATATGCCTGAGATAATAAATAAATAACACACAGCATTACAATCGATACACAATTAAAAACATTTCTAAAATGTAGCCTCTACGTGTTTCGATGTTTACCACGTCATCATCAGGAGTGAACGTACATTTCTAAAATGTAGCCTCTACGTGTTTCGATGTTTACCATGTACGTCGTCATCAGGAGTGAACGTCGAAACTTGTAGAGTCCACATTTTAAAAATGTTTTTAACTGTGTATCGATTGTAATGTTGTGTGTTGTTTATTTATTATTTTAACATTATACACAAGTGCCAATAAAATAATATGGTTAATAAATGCAAACAAATTCGGTGAAACATAATGACTGTCATTGGTTAAGTTGACTTGTACGTTCGATTCATCACAGCTTGAGTTATGTTCACTTGTTGTTTATTAATATATGTAATATATTGTTGTTTTTTTCAATAGATTATATTCGTGTCTGGCAAATGGAAGTGCTGATGAATTTCAAAGAGGGGAGCACCTTTTCAAATCAAGAGCCGTGAAGGAATTATTGCAGATAGGTATATTTCACAGATTGAAAATTTGCGATATTTACTTATCAAACTTGTGACTTTGTCCAGCCAGGGGTTTTTTTTATCCAGCTATATGGGAATGGGCCCAGGGGCCTTTTCCTTTGGGATGAATTAATGTTGTAAGCATGATTCTTTGAAATAGTAGTGGATCCAAATTAGCACACATTTTTGGATATTTGTGTGTGTTTACTGTGTCTAATAGATTAAGAAATGCTTGTGAATAAAAACATCATGTAATTGTACTTGACCTTATAGTATCACAACGGATGGGAAGTAAACAAGACAGGTGGTTTGTACTTTGTATTGTTGAAATAAAATTAATATATAAAACTAAACTGAAATTGACTTTATTTGTCTTTCAGAAAGAAAGTAGAACTAAATATATATTTTTGTAAGATGAACGACCTGGTTATAAAGAGTCTTGAGTTAAATTTTCTGGCTTCAGAAATTAATTCTATGTGCCATAGTTTTTCTCCTACACTTCAGTAATTTCTTCTTACTTACAATCACCAAAGTTGTCATGTATTTGTGAAAAGTTCTTAGGCCTAAAAAAAATGTGTTTCTAGTTTCTAAATTGCTTTTTGAATCCTCATAGTTCACTTGTAATGATCAATTGAGAATTTCAGCATTTGCTAATGAATTCATTGACATAGTGAAACATTATATGTTAATTTGGCTGTTGGTCTTAAGTTCTCAAAATATTCGGAATACATGGGCACCATTTTTAACATTTCATAAATGTGCCCTAAGAAATACAGATTTTATCGTATTTTGAGGTGAACTGATGACTGATACAAAGACTACATCCCTCTTGAGCACATGTTTATGAGACTTCATTTCATTGCTTTTTTTTTTTCTAGCGACATATATTCAAAATGATGATAAAAGTAAATTGTTTCGAAATATTTAAGGTTTTAATTAACAGTTCAACAAACATTGTTTTCAGTTCAGAAGGAGATTAATTGTTTGATAGTTAATTTAAAGTTAATTCTTGGGGAAGATATCCATAAAACTTCATGTTATATTTTTTCTTTCAACTATGTGTATAAAGCCACAATAAAATAAGACTCTTTTTTTTAACACCTAATGAAGTTATGTTCGTAAAGTGCAAGATTGCTATTTTACGTCAGCACCAGAAATTCTGGTATCTGATTGGTTGATGGAAAACTTGGCTTGTGATATTTTAGATAATAAAGAAAATGTTAAATTATCTTAAACACTGATCGGTTAATGGCATTAAAAGAACAAAATATTATAATGCTTAAACACTGATCAGTTAATGGCATTGCAAGAACAAAATATTATAATGCTTAAACATAAAATTAATGGGGCTTCAAAGACCATGCTGTTAAGTTCACTCTGTCACACACACCTATCACCCAAAAAATCCCTACCTACCTTAATATGTAGTTACGTGTAGCCACAAGCATATTTTTTGTTATCTTATCGGAGCTTCTATTGACACCGGAGTAAGTAATTTTGAGTCACTCAGGGTGTCAGATCTTGTACAGCTTCTCATTGGAGCTTCTAATGACAACTGAGTAAGTAATTTTGAGTCAATAAGGGTGTCAGATCTTGTACAGCTTCTCATTGGAGCTTCTAATGACAACTGAGTAAGTAAGTTTGAGTCAATAAGGGTGTCAGATCTTGTACAGATTCTCATTGGAGCTTCTAATGACAACTGAGTAAGTAAGTTCGAGTCAATAAGGTTGTCAGATCTTGTACAGATTCTCATTGGAGCTTCTAATGACAACTGAGTAAGTAAGTTCGAGTCAATAAGGTTGTCAGATCTTGTACAGATTCTCATTGGAGCTTCTAATGACAACTGAGTAAGTAAGTTCGAGTCAATAAGGTT